TTGCTGCCGCATGTTTCTAAAATTAGAATATTATTTCTTATTTCTCATTTCTGTTTGGATAACCTAAAATAATAGATACTACCAGCAAACTAAGGCTAAGTTTGAAAAGACTAAATAAGTATACTTTTTGTCTTTTTGGACTAAAAAATTGAGGTTGAAAATATGGATGTTTGGGTTAACTTTTTGACTTTTTATTGGAAAATGTGTAATAAAAAATTGTAAAAATTGATTTGAAGGGAAAAATTTGAATTGGGAGTTGTGCAGCCGTAATTGTTGACTTTTGGTGAATAGTGTTAACTTTTTAACTTTTTGAGTAACTTTCTGACTTTTTGACTTTTTTGGAACATCCCAAACTTGGCCTAAAAATATACTGCCAATAAAACATTAAAAAAAAAAAAGCTTTTCTTGATGCCCTTTCTTGTTAATAATAAAAAAAAAAACAAACACACATGATTATGAGGTCCAAATTTCTTAAAATTTTCAGAAATGATTTAGAGCTCTAAATAAGGAATTCTAAATCCACCACTAGTTATAAAAAAAAAAAGACACAACATACACTGTGGCAATGGGTGAGACCCACTGCCACATCATTAATGGTGACTCTAATTAGAGCTCCCAAGTATTTTTGTAAAATTTTATATATTATCTCACCATTTGATTTTGGGTAAACTATTCATTAAAGTTTATCACTAAGGGGTTGTTTGTGATATTTTAAATAAATGTACTTTTTGATTTTTTATAAAATATGGGTTGGGTTTGAAATGATGTGATAGAAAGGTAATATGATTTAAATAAGATGATGTGACTTAAATAGAATAATGACTTTTTGACTTGTTAACTTTTTTAAGACACCCCAAACAATGCCTAAATTTTGCAATTATTTAGATATTTTTTATATTTAAAATTTAGTTAAATATCTCTTTATGAAAGAATATATGAAAAAAAATAATTATAAATTATTGGGTTGTAAGTGCGTGTAAGTGAGAACGTAATTCTCACTCATTGAACTTGTCCTACCTCTATGTCATTAATTTATATTTATATTTATATGATATATTTTTCTATTTTTATAATATTTTTCTTTTCTTTATCTTTCACTTAGAACTCAGGTAGCAAAATTTGAATCAGTATAATTTTATTTTTTGGTGGACTTCATCTTCATCGATTGTATGTCAATATACAATAATACATGACAAGGGTCAAGTTACAAATTTGACTTGTCTTTTATTTATGTTCCATTGACATATAAACCATTTATTATAGTAATTTGTTGGTGAAACACTTGGCTGTGTTTGGTTGTGATTTCGAAACGTGATTCTACATCATAGTTTGAGTATGATGTTTGTTTAGTGTTTTGAAATCATGTTTCAAACGCTCTGCAGAGAGCTCTGTCTCTGCTCTGTCTCAGCCGCGCATTTTAGCGTTTTTTTTTTTGAAAATTTTGCTTGACGGGTCGTTCGGCCGGTTGACTGGAATAGTGATTTTTTTTTTGCAATTGATTTATATAATCGAAAAAAATATTTTCTGAAATTTTTTAAATTTTTTAAGTGCTTTAAAATAATTTTGAGTTGTATGTTTAGTTATGAGTTGTAAATTTTTGTATCACATATCTAAGGTCACATCAATAATTTTCCACTCAAATCAAAACCCTTTTCAAAACTATTTAGTAAACAAATTTTCTATACTCAAATTATAATTCTACAGCACACAAACTCAAAATACAACTCATACTCTCAAATCACATTTACAAAACTCTACCAAACGCTACCTTAATTGGGCATGTACTAAAAGTTGCATAATGCAAGTATAAAGATAAGTAAAGATTTTGATAAATTAATTTATGTAGGTTGTGATTGTATCTTGGAGTGTTTTGAAAAGTTGATAAAAAAAAATTGATTTTTTTTTGCAAAAACTAGCTTCTTTTGGATTAAAAAACTGACTTTTTGACTAAAAAATTTAAAAAGTCAAAAAATTGACTTTTTTAGGTTGTTGCCAAAATGTTCATTTGTATTTGTGTATATTTCTTCACTTTCTTCTTTCTTTTTTTTGACAATTTCTTTTACAGATTTAAAATTCAAATACAATTTATATTGATCAAATAACTAACTCATCATTAAAATATGTCATTGACATTGTGAACTAGTAAGGCAACTACTTGTTGATTGCGCAATGAAAGATGAAAGTAATAATTGCGAGGGTAAAATAAATTAAATCAAAATTATTGATTTCATTAGATAAACAAATTACAAAGATTACAATTAGGATTAGGATTTAAATTTGGACTAGCTATGTCAAGTCACCTTATTATAAAATAAGGCCTTATTTGTCATAATCTAAAAAAATAAAAAAGTCAAAAAGTGACTATCCTATTTCATATCATCTTATTTAATTCATATCACCTCTTTATCACATCACTTTAAACCCAATCCATATTTCATAAAAAGTCAAAAAATGCACTTATTTAGATCATCCAAACAACCCCTAAGAGCATCTCCAATAGAGCTCTCAAAATACTTGTCAAAGCTATAATTTGGTAATAATGATAAAAAGTGGGTCTCCAATGGCTTGCTATTCTAGTTGCCAAAGATGGCATATGCCATTTTTGTTCTCAAATTTGGCAAGTAGAATAGCAACTGCCAAACATGCCACATCAGCAAATATGAATAGATTTGTGGCTCCAAATTCAATTGAAAAAACAGAATTTGAGGGAATAATATAAATATATAATTTTTCAAAAAAACAAAATAAATTTTTTGGTGGAGTGAATTATATTTTAATTTTTTTTTCTAATTTTTCAATTTTTTTTTCATTTTTTATATTTGTCTAGTCGGGAATAATATAAATATATAATTTTTTTTACAAATAGTTAAAAAAAGGTCACAAAATACAAAAAATAAACAAAAATAAAATCACAAAAAATCTAATATCCAAACAATACCTACAAATTTGGAGGGAAAGTTGGTTGAGAATTGCCAAAATAACAAGTAACCATTGGAGCACCATTGCTATAATTTGGCCAAATAGCACTATTCATTGCCAAATTATAGCAATAGCAATGATATTATAGCAACAACCATTGGAGATGCTCTAAGCCAATCAACACAAAAATTAGTCACAAAATGTCTATAAATGAATAAAAAATTTTAAATGTAGACTCCAAAAAAAAATCTTATAAAATAGTATAAACTCATGTATATTTATATGAATTTATAAACTTTAAATATATTTTAAGACTTGTATTTAGAAGATAATTTTGAACAACATATATATATATATATATATAAAGGGAATAAAATAAAAGAAATAAGTTTTAAAATATTAGAGAGTTTTGAAAGCACTAACATAATTATTGTCATTTTGAATGACAAATTAGACAGTGAGAAGTATATCATAAAGTCCTCCTAAAATAAAATGTCATATCTAACTCATAATCATTTCAATTTTGTTCTCACAGCCATCAAATTAATTACCAAAACTAGCCAATCAACTTATCAGATATAATCACTTTACTTTTTTGTTTTCCCTATTTTTTTGTTTTTACTGAATTTTTTAAATATTTTAAGCAATTTTTTTAATTTTTAGACATACCTAACATAAATATACTTAAAAAGTAAAAAATTTGTGAAAAAAATATTTTACAAATTCACTAAATACCAAAAATACAAAAAAAAACTAAATACCACAAATACAAAAAAAAATATATAAGAATTCAGTACATTTTTTGTATTTTATGTATTTATTAATTTTTTAAAATATTTTTTCACAATTTTTTTACTTTTTAGATATATCTAAGTAAAATGCATCTAAAAACATAAAAAAAATTAAAATTTAAAAAATATTCACTACAAACAAAAAAAATATGAAAATAAAAAAACTCATTTTTAAAAAATTTAATCAAAAAAATTCAAACTAAACACATAAATTATTTTATTAGACTAAAATAGGCAAGATATTAAATAATCAATTAAAATAGTTGAGCCTAGTACACCCATGGATGATATGACGTAATTTAATTTTTTTTAATATTTAAAATTTATATAATAAGTAATTTCATAACTAAGTAATAGGGTAAATTATAAACATCCCTTCGAACTTTGGTGAAAATATAGGCCTTGTTTGGTTTGTGTTTCTCAAAAAATTTTGGGAAAAATTCTCTACAAATAAGTTTTCAAAAGTAGTCAAACCAAACAAATTTTTCCAATTTTTTTTTCCAAAACTTGTTTGGTTTACAAGTTTTCCAAATAAATCTCTCTCTCATACACATCAAATCAATCACTTTTTTCAAAACTCTCTCTCAAAATAATTTTTCAAAACATCTTTTGAAAAAAAACCAAACCAAACAAAATTTCGTACTTTTTATCTCAAAACATGTTTCTCAAATACAAACCAAACAAGCCCATAGATTCTCTCATAAGATTTAAGAAATTACAAATTGTCTTTTGAGGGTCAAATTTTCATAACAAATTAAGAAAATTAGGAAGAAATCTGTATGAAAATAAAAATTTCAAGAAATAATTTATTATGAAAATATAAACCTAAAAAAATAGAGTGCCATTTTGGGAACATGGTAAAAAAATGTCCAAAAATGTGGCTGTCAAAAACGCCAAAAAAGTCATTTGGCAAGTGCTAAAAACGTAGCCCTAAAATTACAAATTAGGGCCTATGAAAAATAAATAAAAAAATAACTCTCTTATGTTGGGTAAGGATATTTTGGTCATTTTAATTTGATTTGACACCATAAATAAATATTAAACTAAAAAGCAAAAAGTCAGTTTTTTACCAACTTTTCAAATCACTTCCAAAAAAGTCAAAAAGCTTGGTAAAAAGCTAAAAGTTAATTTTTTACCAACTTTTCAAAACAACCCAGAATATAATTTCTCAAATCTCAAGAAAAAATTTGTATTTTTATCAAATTTTGAGGGTGTTTGTAATTTGTCCTAATAATATTGATATTAGTGACTATAACATCAGTATTTCAGTAATACAGTTGCAGATTACAGACCAGAATGAGCTGTTGTCTATCCTGAGAGGATTTCAGTAATCCTCTCTCTCTCTCTCTCTCTCTCTCAAACCCAGAGACATGGTTGGACTGGCCTTTGTCTGTACTGCATCTAGTTGATATATGTATCTATCTACAGCTACACACTTCAGTCCTACTTCTCACCATTCCCACTTTGAAGCAGAACTCTCTCTCTCTCTCTCTCTCTCTCTGAGAGCTTCACACTACACAATGGTGAACCCCTGTTCCATTTCCACACCCATCATCAAAACCCCTCTTCTATTATCTCTCTTGTTTGCATCATTCATCGCATTCGCTTCTGCAGCCAACAATGTTACGTACGATCATCGCTCTCTCATCATCGATGGCCAGCGAAAGCTCCTCATCTCTGCTTCCATTCACTACCCTCGCAGTGTCCCTGCGGTGAGACCCGTGTTTTTCTCCTCTTCATTCAATCATTTTGCATCTGGGTTTCCATGAAAATGTGGGAAAATAGATAGAAAAAAAAAAAGAAAAAAGAAAGAGTAAAGTTTCCGTACAATAGCATAACTTGATCTTTATTCTGTGGTTGCGCATTTTGATGGGTCTTTGTCTGATTGCGCATGTTGGGTTCATATTTATTTGTTTCTTTCTATCACTGTTAATTTTCTAATTTTCTGTAATTTTCTATTTGGGTTTCCGAGAAAATGTAGGAAAGGAATCTAATGTGAAAAGTGTCTATATTCTCTGTAATTTTATCTTGTTGATCTCCATTTTCTTCCTCTTTTTTTTTTTTTTTTTTTTGGCTCTCTCACCAATCAAGCAAAGATTGATTATTTATTTTACATTTCAAATTACTTCTTTGAAGAGTTTGTTTAGATCAGTGTTAATTCTCCTTGTAACCCACATTTTGGATCATTAATTCTTAGTTTGGTTAATTATCACTGTAATGAAAATTTACGCAATGCATATTTTAGGTTTTATTGCACTCTGTCATTGTCTGCTTGATATTTATCAATGTTACAACCAATTCAGACTACTAATTTTTTTAAGTTTGATGTTTATCTGTGTAATTAAAGGATTTTCTATTATCTCCATAATCCACATATTGGATTAGTAATTGTTTGTTTGATTGATTGTTTTCTCCATAATGCGAGGTAGGGTTTTATTTTACTCCGAAGTGGGTTGGCTTTTTTTTTTTTTACTATTTTAGCCTGGGCTAAGAAGCTTAGTTTGGGAAGGGTTTTTTGATTTTTTTGGCTTTTTTGACTTTTTTTTGTGAGAGAAGAGTATAATGATTATGGGGTAGGTGTGATGTTTTGTTTGTTGTGACTAAAATAGCCTATTTGGTCTTTTGTGGCTAAAATAGCCAAAAAAAGCCCTTCCCAAACGGAGCCTCCGTAATTATTTGTTTGGTATGTACAACCAATTCAGGGTACTATTGTTTGAAAGTTCGATATTTCTTTGTGCAATTAAGTGATTGTTTGTTTGTTTTAATCCACATTTTGTATTAATAAGTTTTTTACTAGTAATTATTTTCGTAGCAGTGCAGACTTTGGGTTTTATTGTATGATGTAAATATTTATTAATTTTGACTACCAATTTTTTCAAATGTATTTAAATGATTGTTAAAATGCATATTCTAATTTTTCTATATGAATGTGGTATACGGTAGATGTGGCCAGGACTGGTTCAAACTGCTAAAGAGGGAGGCGTGGATGTGATTGAGAGCTATGTGTTTTGGAATGGTCATGAACTTTCACCGGACAACGTGAGTGAAATTGGATGTATCTAGTAGTCATGTGATTTGGTTGCTTCACATATATCTTTTGTGAATAATTTAATTCATTTCTCATTTATTGTTTTTAGTATTATTTTGGTGGACGATACAATTTGGTCAAGTTTGTGAAGATTGTTGCGAAGGCTGGCATGTATATGATTCTTCGAATAGGTCCATTTGTCGCTGCTGAATGGAACTTTGGGTATGTTGATAGTTATTGGAAATTGTAACCTTGGTATTTGAGATTATGAATTACACAATCACTTATGTTGCGATGTTTAGACTTCTATAGATCTTCAATTGTTCTTAAGTAGCAAATTTGTTATACAGTGGGGTACCTGTTTGGTTGCATTATGTGCCTGGCACTGTCTTTCGGACTGATAATGAACCCTTCAAGGTACAGAAATGTTCTTGTTTATTTCCAAGTTTTAGGAAGATTTAATTCCATTTGAAAAACTTTTTTCCCCTCAAATCTCACTATCTGATTGGTTATTTAAAATGAAATGTGGATCATTCTAATTTATTTGTGGAATTCTAGCATTACATGCAAAAGTTCTTGACGTTCATAGTGAACCTTATGAAGCAAGAGAAGCTTTTTGCATCACAAGGAGGTCCCATCATCTTGGCCCAGGTAAGCAAAAGTGTAAAACTTTTGGTGTCTTGGAGTCTTGACATTGCCAACTTCAATAGGGGGTGTTATACTACACAATACTGGAATACCTTGGTTCTTGTATAGTGTATTTATGAACTTTAAGGTATAGCTTTACTACAAAAATATCTGACTGCCTGAGTATGATAACAATGCACATCTTTTTTCCACTCTTGGGTTGTGCTAATTTTCTCCCTGAATATCTCCCACTTTTCACTATGTGCTTGCCTTATGTTAGTTTCTTGAAACATGCAAAGTTGTTTAGTTTCAATAAGCAATTTTCTCCTTCTACAGGTAGAAAATGAGTATGGAGACATTGAAAGAATTTATGGAGATGGGGCAAAGCCATATGCCATGTGGGCTGCCAAAATGGCTGTTTCTCAAAATATAGGTGTACCTTGGATAATGTGCCAGCAGTATGATGCTCCTGATCCTGTGGTGAGAGTTTGTCCTTTTATAGTTTTCTAGTTGATTAGTAGTATATCTATTTATAAATATATTAAATAATGTATCAATTCTACATGACCATCCACAAACGAAGATCAGGGCCGGCCCTGGCCTAAGGCTAGTAAGGCTTGTGCCGCCTAAAAATAGGGCCCCAAATTTAGTAAAATGTTATAGGCCCAATGTTTTTTTGTTTTTGTTTTAGGATCAATTTAAAAGGCTCCAAAATATTTTATTGGGTCCATATATGGTTTAGCCCATATTTATTTATAAGTATAGTTAGGCCCATATTTATTAAAATGAAAATATATATTTAAAAAAAAAAAAGTGTTTGGGCCCAAGAAGAACACTATATACAATATATTGGCCCTAATTTTTTTTTACCTTATTTATCAATTAGATTTTAGTGGAATAAATAATTTTGCCCTAATTTTTTCCTAGGTCTTTATCAGTTTTAATTGATAATTTTTTCCTAATTTTTTTGTCCTAATTTTGTTTCATTAAATTGTTTTGTTTATAATTTTAATGATTATATGTGCAAGTAAATTTTTTTTGTGGTTACAAACAAATAAAAAAGTTGTAACTTATCGTTTAATCTATGAACTTTTTTTTTAAATGTAAGAGGGGCCTCATTTTCAAAATTCGCCTTAGGCCCCCTAAATGTTAAGGCCAGCCCTGGCGAAGATACATGTAAGTGTACAAATCAGTAATATATCAAAGCTCTAAGAATCAGTATTAGTTTTTTTTTGCCTTATGCACTTTTGACTACCATTCTAAGAGTCGTGCAGTTTGAAGAAATTATTGTTTCTTTACATTGTGATTTGGTTATGCCCTTTTTGGGTCTTTTACAATTTAGTTTAATTCTATGGCTCCTATTGTCTTGAGAGAAAAAAAAAATGTTGAGCACCAATGTTATCCCCATTTAAATCACAGAAAACTGACCTGTTTCAACCGCTGTGCCATGAATTACAATAGCTGGTGCATAACCAAGACCACACCCATAGCTGGAATTTTTTGTTTCTTTTCTTGGCCCTGCACGGGGTGGGGGTGTAGGACAGGAAAACTCGTATGGTGGCAGACATTTGAAAATATAAATACTTCAGAGAGGTAGCTTGAGACTTCAATTATGGCCAAATTTGAAGCATTATACTAGTTATGGCTGTTATTTTCAGAGCTTTTGTTAGGACATAAACTGCCAAAGGGCATCATTTAGCTTATGTATTGACATCCTATACTTTGTATTTTATTTTTTTTGGGTAAGTATACTTAGAATATTAATTTGGCTTAGATGATCATAATTGTTCCTTTTGCAGATCAATACATGTAATTCATTTTACTGTGACCAATTCACACCAAATTCACCGAACAAGCCCAAAATGTGGACTGAAAATTGGCCTGGATGGTATTATTCAAGTTACTTTTATTACTATACGAAATTTTGTTTCTCCTCTCTATGTAAATTAGCTCCTGAAATTTTCTTTTGCCATTGTTGTGTGATCATTCTCATCATCTGCCTTCAATGAAACAGTATGATAAATCTGCTCAGTACTTTTTTTTTTCCCTACGCAAGTTTGGGTTTGTAATGCTCTTAGATGTTCCAAATACACATTCAAATAGCGCAAGGAAGAACTTAGTATACTATTGATATAATTAGGATCAGATAAATATAGTATTGTTGTGTTACTTGTCTATAACAGAAACAATTGCCTATAGGCAAACTGCAACTAATTATATGTACATTGTTAACAGAGAAGACGAATTTGTATATTATTGAATAATCAACCAAAAGGCTGAGTACAAATATATAATCTAAACAAAATAAAACCCTAATAACCTAAACTACTAAACCACCCTGAATGAATAATATAAAATACAATAAAATACATAATTTACACCCCCCTCAAACTGAGGATGCGAGTGTAGAAAGTATCGAAAGTTTGCCAAGAAGAAAATGAAAACGATCAATAGTGCGAGTCTTCGTAAAAAAATCTTCCAACTGAAGAGAGGAGGGAACAAAAAGGAGAGTAATAGTGCCAGCCTGAAGGTGCTGCCTGACAAAGTGACAATCTATTTCAATATGCTTTGTTCGCTTATGGAAAACGAAATTATGGACAATCTGGACAGCACTCTGATTGTCACAATACAACGGAGTCGAAGTAGAAAGAGAGGCACCCATATCAGAAAGAAGCCACCGAAGCCAAACTATCTCGGAAGTAGCATGAGTCATGACACGATACTTAGCCTCAACGGTGGAACGAGCAACAACAGGCTGTTTTTTACTCTTCCAAGAAATGAGAGAATCTTCGAGAAAAACACAAAGACCAGAAGTGAATTTGCTATCAGAGATGTCGCCTGCCCAATCAGCATCAGCATAGGCACGAAGAGTCAAGTTCAAAAAGGCAGGTAACAACAAACATTGCAATAGAGTGCCACGAAGGTAGCGCAGAGTACGAAGTAAGGTAGCCCAATGGGTGGAATGAAGAGCAAAAACTAACTGACTGAGAATGTGCACAACATAAGAGATGTTCGGATGAGTAACAGTGAGATAAACAAGGGACCCAACCAACTCTCAATACAAAGTAGGATTCTCAAGAGAAACACCATCAGAAGCAGAAAACTTAGCATGCAACTCCATAGGAGTGTCGACAATTTTGTCATCAGTGAGATTGGCACAAGAAAGAATATCATGACATATTTAGTCTAAGAGAGAAGATACCCAGCGGGAGAAGTAGTAATATCAATACTACGAAAATACCGAAGTGACCCTAAATCCTTCATCTCGAACTCCTAAAATAACTGATGCTTAACCTCCTCAATAGTACTAGAATCAGAGCCAGTGATGATCATATCATCTACATATAAGAGAAGGAGAACAAGCCCAACAGAAGTGCGCCGAACAAAGAGAGCACAATCATGATGACTAGGGCAAAAGCCAAGCTAAAGTGCAACAGAGTGAAATCGCTCATACCAAGCACGAGGAGACTAGATGAGACCATATAGAGCACGGTTAAGACGACAAACAACATCAAGAGGGTGAAAGAGACTCGGTGGAGGGCGCATATACACTTCTTCAGCAAGGTGCTCATTCAGAAAAGCATTTTTGACATCTAACTGAAACAAAGGCCATTGATGGGCAGTATCAACAGAGATAAGAGTGCAAACAGTAGTCATCTTGGCAACGGGGACAAAAGTCTCATCGTAATCAATCCCATACTCCTGAAAAAAGTCCTAGGCAACCAAACGAGCTTTGTACCGTTCCAAAGAACTATTAGAAAGGGTTTTGACCTTATAGATCCATTTATAGCCCACAACATTCTTGCCAGTAGGTAATGGAACCAAATCCCAAATCTGAGTGTTAGCCAAAGCAGTTAACTCGTCATTCATGGTAGCAATCCAAATAAGTATGAAGGCAAGAGAGAAAAGACTGATAGGAAAGGAAAAAACATTTATTACCAAAACCAAATCAATTTGGAGGATGATGCTCTCGCTTTGGAAAGCAATGTGTAAGAGGAGCGGGATCCAAAAAAACAGCTGGAGGGACAGTAGAGCTAGAGGCAGGTGAGCTCGGAAGTGCTTTGCGGCGCTGATAAACAAGAAGAGGAGCAGGGGAAGCAGGAGCTGGAGAAACAGGAGAGAGAATAGCTGGCGAGGTATCAGGAGTGCGAGTAAGAGGCAAGGTAGAGACCTTAAGATTAGAAACAAACTCATCGGGAGAAACATCAGGAGGAAATGGGTCAATATGAACTAATTCATCCTTGGTGATAGGGACATGGGTGGAAGGTATAGTGTAGTAGGGTAGTTTTTCTAAAAAAGTGACATGCTTAGACACATATAGCTTTTTGGTGGCAGGATCATAGCACCGATAACCTTTCTGATTAACCCTAAAAAGACACATAGGACACAACGAGAACTAAGCTTAGAGCATTCCCCGTTTAGCAAGGAGCACAAAGCATGCATAACCGAAAACATGAAGAAGTTAATAATTGGGAGTAACACTAAGAAGACGCTCATACGCAGGTGAACCTGAGAGAAGAGGAGTAGGCATCCGATTGAGAAGATATGCAACCGTGAGCATAGTTTCTCCCAAAAAGACAGAAGGGACAAAAGATGAGAGCAACAAAGAGCGAGCCATACCAAGGAGATGTCGATGTTTGCGCTTAGCTTGACCATTTTGGGCAGGAGTGTCAGAACACGAAGACTGATGAATAGTGCTATTAGTAGCTAAAAACTCCTCAAACTTAGACAAGTAATACTCACCTCTTAAATTAGAACGGAGAACTTTAATGGTGGTGGAAAACTGAGTGCGAATCATGGAGTGAAAATTGGAATATATTTTGTAAAAAACAAATTTTCGGGTCATCAAATAAACCCAGGTAAATCGACTGTAATCATCCGCAAAAGACACATAATATTGCGAACCACCCTTGGTAATTATAGGGGAAGGACCCCAAACATGTATGAACCAATAGAAAAGGAGAAGATAAAATAGAACTACTTTTATTAAATGGAAGAGCAAGCATTTCAGCCAATTTACAACTATGACACTTAGAAATATCATCAATGGAAAAATTGCCTAAATGTCCAGACCAAACTAACATCCTCAAATTGTCACTAGACATATGACCTAACCTAAAATGCCAAATAGAAAATATTGTTTAAACAAAAGGAAGACAATGCAGTAGGAGACACAACTAGAAGAACATGCAAGCTGTCCAAGATATATAGTTCTCCAATTCTACGCCCGATCCCAATCTGCCTCTTGGATACCCAAACCTGCACAACACAATGAGAAGAAGAGAAAACAACATCAAAATCAGAATTAGATAATTGACTAATAGAAATAAGACTGAGTGAGAGGTGAGGTACATAAAATGCAGGAGAAAGAGACAAATGAGAAGACGAAATAGAACCAACAGAGTGTACAGGCATAGAAGAACCATTAGCGGTAGCAATAGTGATAGGAGTGTGAATTATGTAGTTTATATTATTCATTAAGGATAGTTTAGTACTTTAGATTGTTAGGGATTATTAGGGTTTCGTTTATATATTTTGTAATTCTTTTGATTAATCAATATACACAAGTTTTGTCATCTGTTATCAAGGAGAAGAAGGGGAGACACAATTACTGAGAAGAGATGCAATAGGGTCATATGATGTGAACAACCAGAATAAAAAATCCACGAAGTGTGAATATTACTTGAAGAGGATGAACCAGACAAACCTAACTGAGTGGTAGTCATAGCGGAGGCCTGGGACGAAAGATTTGGATTGGCTGCCATGAAATATTTGAACTGCTCAAACATAGACTGCACATTAGAAGACGGACCATTCTCAGAAATAGGTGCTAAAAAGGCAGCAGATGAACGAGATCCCGAAGATGTCGGCTTAGAGGACGGTGGACCAGACGAATGACTCTTGGGCTGCAAAAGTTTAGGACAAGTATGTTTTCAATGGTCTTTCTGATGATAAAAGCTACACTCATCCATGGAAACCCAAGGCTTGGGCTTATTAGTAACCTAAAATAAAGGAGATGGTGAGGTGGGCAAGTAGGAGCACCATGAGCCACCTTGAATCGATTTTCTTCTGCAATAAGTTCACGGACTGTACCATCAACAGAAGGTAAGGGGTCGATGGAGAATAGCTCCCCAAAGTGGGTCAAACTGATAACGAAGGGCCATAAGAAATTGAACAAGACGTTACTTCTCCCGATACTTGGTATAACTGTCAAGTAACTGCGATGGTTCCATTAAAGCAAGTTGATCTCAATAAGTAGTTATCTCATTGTAGAACTCTTGAATGGACTTATCTTTCTCACTAGTGCTGTGAATAGACATCTAAAGTTCATACTGTTTTGCGAAGTTAGACTCAAGATACATAGTTTTCAAATAGTCCTAAACTTGTTTAGAAGTAGAATACTTGGAAAAATTCATACCAATGGTAGTTTAAACTGAATTATGAAATCAAGTAAGAATTTGTGCATTTCCTTATCCCATTTTGCAACATTGGCCTCAGTGTCTTTGGATTCCATAGGTCTAACAGTTATACCAATAAGATAGTTCCACATGCTTGTACCCGTTATAAAATTTTTCATTTCATGAGACCAATAAGGGTAATTGGTACCATCGCTTGCAGCTTATCATCAGCCATATTGTTATAATTAAACAACATAGTGAAATCAAAGCAGAGTGAAAAGCAGCAGAGAGAAAAAGAGAGAGAGAGATGAACGACCTGTGTGAGATACGCAACCTAGGTCTCCGACTGAACCAGACCAGCGATGAAGGCTTCTTAGGGCTCAACAGTAGAACACAGTCCAAACAGTCGAAGTCAAGAATCAGAGAAGTATTGAATCAGAATCAGAGGGAAAAACGAAGTCAAGAAGAGGGATGACTGCATTTGGGTAGTCGCAGGTCTGTGTGAGACATGACTGCTTCGTGTGAAAGGCTAGGGCTCTGACTGAAACAGAGACATCAACCAGGAGGTGTAGGAGTGTTGAACCAGAATTAGAGGGAAGAAACAAAAGTGTTGAACAAAGATCGCGAGTCAAGAAGGCTGCAAATCGAAGGGTTGCAAACTTCGAATGTGGAGAGCTACGAAGACAGAACTGTGAATTGCAAACACGATGAGACTCTCAAGTTGCGAACTGCAAATGCAAGCCTCCAGCAGGTCGTCGGAAGGTAAATGGCGGCTAGGATTGCAGGACCTGCTCTAATACCATGTTAACAGAGAGGATGAATTTGTATATTATTGAATAATCAACCAAAAGGCTGAGTACAAATATATAATCTAGACAGAATAAAATCCTAATAACCTAAACTACTAAACTACTCTTAATGAATAATATAAAATACAATAAAATACATAATTCACATACATACGATGTATGGATTTTCCTACTGATATGAACTAGAACTGTTTGAATTTCTTACTTCATTGTTGATTCTGTTTTATTGATATACAAAAGGTTATTAAATGGGTATGTTAGAACTTTGAAGTACTATTTTTGTTGTTCAGCATAATAATGCAATCAGTGTTGAACATTTTCAGGTTCAAAACCTTTGGGGGCAGAGATCCTCACAGACCACCTGAAGATATTGCTTATTCCGTTGCTCGTTTTTTCCAAAAAGGCGGTAGCTTACAAAACTATTACATGGTATTCTTAATAATTTTCCATCTCATGAGTATAGAATTATTTTCATGTACTTTGTCATTAAGTGGGAAAGACATTCAGTTCTTGATGTACCATGCCAGTTAACTTCTACGTGAAGCCTCATGTTCTACATTTTTGTGCTGTCTTCTTTGGCTTTTAGTATCATGGTGGGACAAACTTTGGTCGCACTTCAGGCGGGCCATTCATTACCACAAGTTATGATTATAATGCACCTATTGATGAATATGGTGAGCTATCTGTGTTTCTCGTTCCAAAGAAACCTGCTCATATGGATTTCCAGAGCGGAAGTTTTTAAATTTGAATGTTTTTTTTTTATATTTCTTCTAGGGTTAGCTAGGCTTCCCAAGTGGGCACACCTTAAGGAACTTCACAGGGCTATAAAGTTATGTGAGCATGCATTGCTGAACAGTGAGTCAACCTTGCTTTCACTAGGTCCTTTACAAGAGGTGACTATCCTCCCTCTCCTACCTTTGAGCTTCAAAATTGCTAAAATACATTTTACATTTTTGGACATTGTAATGTTATAAGTTAATTAAACCAGTATGCTTTTCAGTGGTTCAAATGTTTTCAGGATGTGGATTTTATTTTTAGTTTTTGCATCTAATATCGGCTTGTGTAGTTCACTATGTTCTGATTTTCCCTTGCGTGCCATGCATGTACATGGTTTGCACTCCCTTTGCTGCTTTTAAATGTTTTGCTTTTTGCTATTTGTAAAACTGTGGGGCTTTGTTGCACACCTTTAGTGAAGCATTTATGTTATCCATCTAAGAGACAAGTATTACTTTTTTCTTTTTTCTGTTTTAGTCAAGCATGCAAATATTTCATTCATTATGTTTTATTTTATTTTACTTTTTCCCATTTGTTGTAAAATAATTTATGATTTATGCATCATTGGTTGTTCATGTTGAGTTGGTTGGAAACTTGGAAAGAATTACATGCTTAAGAAAAATATTTGAAATCAATTAAAACTGCATTGAAAGAACAGCAAAAACCCAAGCATATGCAAGCTAAAAAGGCTTAAACCCATGAATATATTTGTTTGATAAGTAAAGATCACATAATATAAAGTATAGATCATATAATATAATATAAAAAAATGCCTCAAAAGGCGCAACCATGTACAAAGAGTCAAAAAGGCTCAACTCAACAATGAAATCTATGATAAATGAGAGGGTTCACAAAAAAATCCTTTACCCCAAAAATAAGAAGTATGCAAAAGAACCGCTTTAAGCTTATGGATTCGTGATTTTGACTCATAATTCATGAAAAATGTGTCTGTTCCTCTCCCTAAACTGAACTCCATAAAATCTCTTTTTTTATTTATTTGGAAGCATTGTAGATCACCCTTTGCACCAAAGTGGCTTTGGTCCTTGATGAGACCATTCTGTGATAACACAATTGGAGCAAAAAAAAAAAAAAAAAACAAAGAAACAAAGAAACAAATCTTTAGTAGGTAAATTAAGACGGGGGTGAATAAGTATCAATTAATTGATTTTCAAATTGTCACTGATAAATATTGAAAAGGCTATTGGTGGGGAAACTTATTGGTGGTTCTTCAGGAACTGTACTTGGTATGGTACTGTACCATTGGTACTGAAAAAGAGAGCTTTTGATGATGTGACATGTTTGTACTTTGTATTCATGTCTTTTAGAGACGTCAATTTTTTCTTCTTTTTTTGATCAACTTTTTGAGTTATAAGTTACACGCTTCAGAGGTTTGATTCTTATATAAGTATTAGCTTTGATAAAATAGGCGGAGAAACTATGTGGATTCACTTTGGCTAAGTAACAAAAAATGAGGAAAATTTTTCCTCCATTTATTTACAACAATCTACTATAAAAGCTTACCTTTGAGCATTCTATAGTGGAGTCCTACAACCTTAGTCCAGATATGCATTTATCATCATCATATTCTGCTTACTCTCAAATATTTAATGATTTTTAGTTATGAGTACGACTCCTGGTTGGGTTGGGTTTGCTTGTGTTGTGATTTTAGTCTTTTCTCTTGTCAGTTCAAGAAACATTTACTGATTAACCACTTGTTATAGGCTGATGTCTATGCAGACCCATCAGGTGCTTGTGCTGCCTTTATTGCTAACAATGATGATAAAAATGACAAGATAGTAGAGTTTCAGAATATGTCATATCACCTGCCAGCATGGTCAGTTAGCATTCTGCCAGACTGCAAGAATGTAGTATTTAACACTGCGAAGGTAATTTCTTGTATTTTGATGTCCCTGAATTTAGCCAAACATTATAATGTTCAATTCTTTGTGATTTTAAGTTTATCAGTCTACTTCTCAAGGAAGTATGAATTTACTTGAGTATAGATATTGTGCATTGTGAGCATCATTTCCTGGGGTCAGCTGCATTCAGAAACAAGTCTCAGGTGGTAGAGTGATCTCGTGTAAATCATATTTGCTGTATTTTTTGCTCTTGTAATTTCATCTTCTTCTTGTAGCTAACTCGTGCAAAAAACAAGTGAAACGAGGGGTTGTTTTTGTTTTAAGGTGGCCTTACTTCCTGTTAAAAAGATTTGTCCATTAATTTGGAACTTCTTTCTTTGATTTTGATCAAACATCCATAGGAGGCGACAATTCCATTTAGTTTACTTTCAAAGCAATAACCAACATAGTGATTGGTGTGTTAATGGATCTTTCTAACAACTAAGCGATCTCAGTCTCTCAGACGTGGCACATGTGCCATCATGTTTAAATGATGACAAAGTACTTTTCATTTCCACATCTTACTTCTCAGTTCTAATTATGGTCATCCATAACATTCACATCAATTGTCCACAAGTTGGTGATGGGTGTGGTTGCATTTCATCTAGTTTTGCCCTGTTAACTACAGTTTGGAATTTACATTTGGTACTTCTAACAGGTTGGGTCTCAAACTTCTAATGTTGAGATGGTACCAGAGGATTTGCAGCCATCATCTGTAAATAAAGACTTGAAAGGACTTCAATGGGAAGTCTTTGTGGAGAAAGCTGGGATCTGGGGAGAAGCTGATTTTGTTAAAAATGGTTTTGTTGATCACATCAATACAACAAAAGATACTACTGACTACCTTTGGTATACAACCAGGTTGGTCTCCCTAAAATTTGATTCTACCTATAGAAGCATTCTAAAAAATCAACTAGCATATTTCAAAATTTCAGATTATTCACCAAATAAACTTTAATAAAATGTATAAGACACACCAAATTCTTGATATTTTATACTATACTAGAGAAATGCAATTGTCAAAAATATAACTAGTGTAAAAATCATATACATAATGAAAAACATTACACAAACGCACATCTTCATAAAAAAAAGTACATTTGAATGAGATTGGGCTCCAGGAAGCCAATGAGGAGGAGAGCAAGTATTTTGTGGAACACCCTTATACATATTAAAATTAATAAAAAAAAATGGGAAGTGTTTGGTTTAATGCGGTATTTTTATGCCTTAATCCGTGAATTGAATTGTAATCAATGATTCTTAATTATTTGGAATCGAAACCTAACTATTCCTTCATAAAATGAAACCAAACCTACTGTTTGTATTGGTCTGTATTGATTTACTGGTTCCACCAGTTTTTTTAAACCCCCCTGTCAGTGGGCATATTCAGGATATATTGTTTGCAAATGATATTGGCCTAGTGGATGGAATTAAAAGAAACACTTGAGTCACAAGATACATAGAATACATTAAGTGGAAATTAAGTAGGACTCAAATTGAATACATAGAATGTAACTTTAGTAAGAATAGAAGTAGAAATAGTGAAAAGTGCACACTGAAAACAAAAAGAAACCAAAGAGTGAATAATTTCGTTATTTAGATTGGAGAGGTTAGAGATGAGGTGACCCATAGAATCAAAATTGGTTGGTTTAAGTGGACAAGAACTTCTGGTATATTATGCAATCCACAGATAATAACAAAATTGAAAGAATTTTTTTATAAAACAGTTACAAGGCCAGTGATAGCTTCATGGGACAAAATGGGTAAATGAGAAACAACACGTTAATAAATTAAGTGTAGTTGGGATGAGGATGCTAAGATAGATTTGTGGTAAGGTCAGGAAAAATAAAATTAGAAATGAATATAATTGTGAAATGATAGGAATAGCACCAATTGAAGGTAAGTTAAGAGAGAACTTACTAAGATGATTTGCTTATATACAATGAAAACTGGTAGATGCAATGGTAATGAAGTGATATGATCACTGTAAATGGAAATGTTAGGGAGAGGGAAAAACCTAAACTAACATGGGATATAGTAGTAAAAAAGATTATGAATTGATTATATTTAGCTGAGCATATAGCCCTTGACATAAAAGGATTCATGTTGCCAACCCTAATTGATTGGAACACAAAGCTTGGTTTGGTTTAGAGAGCCTAATCTTATGCAATTGAGCAGCTTTAGTCCTTCCAAAGCTGCTTGCACACTAGCTTGTCTCCTGTACCTCTGAAGAGTAAAGGCTGATAGGTTCCACACTAATGTGCTGATATTGATAATCTCAATCACTGCTCAAAACTGTATCAAGATGTTAAACACTATACAAGTTCTTTTAATGAAATATAAAATCTAGAGATAGTACATAAAGAAAAATTGATTTTATAATATAATTGATAAACAGTAAATAGAATAGAAACAATTGTCGTTCCCATCTCCAGTTTGTTTATGATAGCTAGTTCTTGCGTGGACCAGAACAAAATCTGGTGTACATGTCCTATAGTTTTACTAGTGCTTCCTTAAATGAGTTTCTCTTTCTAAAAGTGTTTGATCTACTAATTAGTTTTCATTCTAAGTATATTAGTGAAATGAAGGGTGTGATGAATCAGAAATAGAAAAAGTATAATTATGACATTTATATATGCTTAACAATCATACAACTGGCTCTTAATCAGAATTATGTTGGAATGTGTTCCATATCGTCTGGAGTTACCCCATTTGTGTTGGTTGTAAGGCTTAATACCTGGGTTTTGAGGAGAAGTGTGAGCTGGGCTCTTCAATTTGGTATTAGAGCTTGGTTGGGCCTGTGATTGGTATGCCGTTTGTCTGGCTGCTGTATGTTGTGGTCCAGGATAGTGTGTTAGAATGTGTCCGACATCGCCTGGAGTTACTCCATTTGTGCTGGTTATAAGGCTTCAGTTTTCCTCTCCTTAGTACCTGTGTTTTAAGAAATGTAGGCTGGGCTTTTCAATTTGGTATCGGAGTTTGGTTGGGCCTGTGATTGGTGTGTCGTTTGTCCGACTAGTGTATATTGTGGTCTAGGAGGGTGTGTTGGAATGTGTCCCACATCGCCTGGAGTTGCCCTATCTGTGCTAGTTATAAGGATTTAGTTCCCCTTTCGTTAATACCTGGGTTTTAAAGAGAAGCGTGGGCTAGGCTTTTCAATTAAATAGTGGTTCTTAACCAGAATTTCTTTAAATAAAGTGATTTGTTATGCTAGTTAGTGCTCTTAAGTGTACAGGTGACCAGAAGGTATAATAAATCTGAAATAGTCAATCTATGCATTTAAATTTACATTTACTGGCACTCTAAGTTTGCTTCAAGTTCTTACAGCGTATCCTTAATGGCAGCTTACATGTTGATGAGAATGAAGAGTTCTTGAAGAAAGGAAGCCAGCCAATGCTCGTAGTTGAATCAAAGGGTCATGCTCTCCATGCTTTTGTGAATCAGAAACTTCAAGGTTATTATCTATTTTCCTGAGATTCTACTACAGTAGTATCCTTTTATGGTATAAAGAACTGTTCATAAGCAGTCTTCCATAGTTATGGCTCTGTATCAGAACTGGAATGGTCACTTCATGCCATTCTGACTAGTCTGGAGAATATCCTTCACTTATGGTACTAGATTAAAGCTGTGTTTGGATCGTGGATTTGGGTAAGACATTTGGAAAAGGAAAGCAAAAGGTGAGGAAAATGTGTGAATGAAATGTAAGCTAATTTTTTTCTCCATTTACCTTGCTTTTTTTGTTTCCTTTTCCAAATCTGTACCCAAATCCATGATCCAAACAACATAAGTGCCACGTGTGTCCCTAACTAAGCTTAATTATTATTTACTTGCTGCTGTTTAGCTAGTGCATCCGGAAATGGCTCAGTATCCCCTTTCAAATTTCAGACACCCATTTCTCTCAAGGCTGGGAAAAATGAAATTGCTCTTTTAAGCATGACTGTCGGCCTACAAGTAAGTTCTCATTTATTTAGTAAAACTGTGTTGCTTATGGTCGCTGAAGGTTTTAATTGGTCAATACTAGTTACACCTGAAAAGCTAATTTCATGTTGTCGAAAAGGGACTATCAACTGAGTTAATGGTAGTCTGCAGCAGCGCAATAGGATTTGGTTTTTATAATAAGAGATTCATTTTGCAGGTGTTGTTTCCATTATCTACTTTGTTGCTTTGACTATTGTGATGAAATTTGGTGACATAATGATTTTCTTATTCATATGTGGCAATTGTTTGCTCTTGATCATACAGATGACTATGCTTACTTCTTAATTTGTATGCTTTTGTTGGAAGAAAATGGAAGAATGGGATTTGGGATGGCGATGGATAACCTACCCTGTGGGTATCCATGGGACCCAACCCAAATACATGGGTTTTTCCTTTTTTTTCTATCCATTGGGTAGGGTAAGTTATATTCTTTAAATATCTACAGGGGATGGGTTGGGGGTGGGTACCCACTAATTTACCCATATGTCCTCTTTTTTTTCTTTTTTTTTAAGATTCACAACCAAAACTAAACATAAATTCGATCTTTTTTCTTTTATTTATTTATTTATTTATTTTCAGGTTCACAACCAACTTTTTTTTTTTTTATATTTTTTTTTTAAGATCCACAACCAAAGCTAAATATACATCCAATCTTTTTTTTTTATTATTTTTTTTATTTTTAAGGCTCACAACCATTTTTTTTTTTATTTTTAAGATGCACAACCTGACTTTAGTCGCTAGTTTTGGTGGAGCGATATGAAAAGGGATGTGGCAATGTCTATATCGAATTGCCTTACTTGTTAACAAGTGAAGGCTAAACATCAGAGGCCGGCAGGTTTGTTGCAACCCTTGCCTATAGCTGAGTGGAAGTGGGAGCATGTCACGATGGATTTCGTCGTGGGTCTTCCTAGAACTCAACGGGGTAGTGATGCCATTTGGATGGTAGTTGACCGGTTGACCAAATTGGCACCCTTTATACCTATACGTGTGAGTGACTCAGTAGATTTCCTTGCAGACTTGTATATTCGGGACGTAGTAAGGTTGCACGGGGTCCCAGTGACGATTGTATTGGATAGAGATCTACGTTTTACGGCCCGGTTGTGGCAGAGTTTGCAGAGTGCTTTGGGCACTAGACTAACCTTTAGTACTACGTATCACCCTCAGATTGACAGGCAGTCAGAGCGTACCATTTAGATTTTGGAAGATATGCTTCGAGGTTGTGTCTTCGATTTTAACGGTTTGTGGGAGAGGCATTTACCGTTAGTGGAATTCGCCTACAATAATAGAGTGAAGGTGAGAATAGTGGTGATGGTGTTGTGAAATTAGTAAAAATTTAATTGAAAAAATATTTTTTGTTTTTTAAAAGTAACGAACAACAAAATTCGTGAGGGACTAAAGGAAGAAGATGGAGGATGGATTGGGTGTGGTAAGGCATAGATATCTTAAAAAGAGTGGTTTAGATTTGTTAAAAGGTATAATTAGATTTTGGATAAATTAAAATGAATGGTTCAAATTTGCTAAGAGAAATATGGTTTAATGTCTAAATGTCCGTGGCTAAGAGATCAACAAACAATTCCTTGTTTATGCCCTGATGCAATTTAATATGGGTCTTATAACACTTTCTTCAAACAGGTTCTTTCACATTTTATTTCTTCAAACAGGCTCTTATAATTTTATAAATAGGTTCTTATAACATGTTTGAGAGAGAGTGAGAGTGAGAGAGAGTGAGAGAGAGAGAGAGATGGTTGTAATTTTTTTTTTAATCTTTCACGTTCTTTCACATTTTTTTTTCAATTACTAAAACTTATTTGATTGTCTCAAAATTATATATTTGATTATTATAAAACAAACTTTTTAATTAATTAATTAATGTGTATTTGATTTTGTTGTTGAACCAAATAAAATAAAATAAGATTGAATGTATATTTAGCTTTTGTTGTGAACCTTAAAAAAAAATAAAAAAATAAGTTGTTAACATTAAATATATTAAAAAGAAAGAAAAAATATTGAATGTATATTTAGCTAAAACCTTAAAAAAAAAAAAAAATTAAAATTGTTAACATTAAATATATTAAAAAAGAAAGAAAAAAGATTGAAGGTATATTAGCTTTTGTTGTGAACCTTGATAGTTAACATTAAATATAAAAAATAAAAATAAAATAAAAATGAGGATTAAAGTGGGTTGGGGAAAATCCAAACCCATTAAGAAATGGGAAGGGAGATACCCATGGGGAATGGGGAAAATTTATTTTAGGGGAATGGGGATGGAGAATTAATATCCATCCCATTAACCCCCATTGCCATCCCTAAATGGGATTATAGCAACAACATTAATAATAATAACTCAACCTTCTTACAATAGGCTATAGCCTCTGATGTGCCAGTGCGCTCAAAGTCTTATTGCCTAGACTTTATCTTAGGATGGGGTCACCACCCCGCCTGCTTTAGTCTCAAACAGGGCTCAAATTGCAGTGAACACACTGGACTGACCCCCCTCGAAAAAAGGGAAAAAAAAACTAACATTTTTCAATATTTGAGTTCCTCTCTTCAATTGATGCATATTTTGATCGTTTTAGAGTCCCTTATTGGGAAATATGTCATAAATTTTTCTGTTTTTCCCCATGCATTGTTGTGTTCATTTACTACTGCCCCCTTCAGTTTTTCCTGGCTAAGAATCTATTCACACATTATGTTGTTTGGTATGATCTAAATAAGTACACTTTTGACTTTTTACGAAAAGATGTGCAGAAAAATAAAGAAATGATGTGACCCAAATAAGTACACTTATCTAAATAAGTGCACTTATTTAGGAGATGTCAAGCAAATACTTAGGCTATTTGGGATATACTATATTAGTATACTTTTTGACTTTTTATGAAAAGATATACAGAAAAATAGAGAGATGATATGATCAAAAAAAATGAAGAACTAAAAAAATGCAATTTTTTTAGTGCTAACCAAACAACCTCTTAGATATTTTGGTATACAGTAACAAGAATGAGGACACACATAGGCAATCAACTTTGGATTTGACCAGATCTCATTTGACTACCACATAACTCTTTCCAACATTAGGACAAAAATGCTAGCATGAAGGGATGGTAACTCTACTCCCTATGGAAGGAAGTTTTCTGATTTTTCTATAGCTTCTATTGATTTCATACAAGATATCTTTCGGAGGTGCTCCAAGGCAGGCTTTTTGTATACTCAATTGTACAGAGGAAGCTCCCCTTGTTTGGTGCCTTAGACATAATTATTTACCTATATAAGAAAATCACCCACAAACAATACTTGTAGCTCAGTGGCTACTACTAGAAACTTCAGTCTGGACAATGCAGTACCTGTGATGTTACTATTCTTCCAAACCAATTTCCATTGTCAGATATCTAAGTGTTTTTATTTTTTTGTTTTTTTTTTTCAGATATTGGAGTTGCTTTTATTTTTCCAAATTCAAGCTGATAACAGTTTTGGTTTCAGGCCCTTGTGTATGTTTGAGTTGAAAATCATAGGACATGTGGGCCTATTGTGAGGCTAAGCCCTATAGTATGTGAAATTGTTATGCCTTTGAACTTCTACTTAGGAAATATTTCTAAAATATTATTAGTAATAGCAATAATCCATGGACAGAGACTTGAGAGTGCAATGGTATGACATGGACATGAATTCACAATGGCTAGTCCCAAACTCTAGATATAGGCCATGTTTGTTTTGGTGGACATGAGCTTGGGATTGGATTAATAGTCCAATAAAATTATTAATCCGATATTTGGTTAAACAATTGAAGTGCGGACTAACAGTCCATCCGGATATGGTATCCCACCTATGATGGACTATTCAATCCCACAGAGGGGGGTGGGATATAAATTGGAGGACTAAGCCAAAGTTTGGACTATTAGTCCCTCCTTATAATCCTAACTCAATTCAAGTATAGGATATGATTCACAATCCAAAGGGATTCGTAGTCCTAGAATTATTAGTCATGAGAATGCTAATCCAACATAATTTAGTCCGCCCAAACAAACATGGCCATAGGGTACAAATATAATTGTAGATGTGCATATGTGGGTTATTTTATGTGCCTTTGGTTTCTTAGTGCTAGAACTAGAAACATAAAAATTTTAAAGGAAGACCTTAATAATAGGTTTATAACAGATGCCTATCTCATTTTTGTTCTTGAACAACTTTCTTAATGTAAATGAAGGTAGTCACTTTATGATGGGTGTTTATGAGTTCTTTCTTGACAAGGTTAGATGTGGCCTTTAGTTGCACGAAGTGGGAGCAGATAATTAATGGCAAGAATTGCAGTGAGAGCTGTGAACCCATAATGAGCATTGACTTTCAACATCCATTCCACAGCCTCCATGCGAGCCACACAGATTGCAGAGTCTGCGGTGCCATTGTTGTCATCAAGGTTGAGTGCAAATCCATTATTCTTCAGAATTTCAGCCACAGTGACCACTGTTGCAATTGCCATTCCAAGAGCAGACAGCTCAACCTCATTATATTGCTGCATATACCTCTTAGCGAGGTTGACATAGAAGAAGAGGGGTTTCTTGGTGTTGGAGACCTGGATGCGGTTCCTCTTGTGAGATTCAGAGATCCGGACATTGACTGTTGATATGAGGGATGAACCTGAAGCACGACCTGTTCCAATTTTGCATGCCATTTCAGTGCTGGGAAAGAGAGAGAGAGAACATGATAGATCGAGAAAGGGAGAAACAAGCGACGCAACAGAGACGAAGAAAGAGAGAGAGGCAGAGACGAAGAGGAGATCGAGAGTGAGAGAAGCGAGAGAGAGAAAGAGACGAAGACCTAGGGCTTCGACGAGAGGGACGAAGACTAGGGCTGAGACGGGGAAGTCAAACGGCGAGATCGAAGTCAGCGACCAGGTACTCTCCTTTCCCTCTCAATAGTGCTCCCTTCTCGCATCAGATTCGCGTTTCCCTCTCCTCAAATTCGCGATTCTGCTACGATTCTTCCTCAGAAGCGCAAAATCGCGCTTTTTCCTCGGAGTCGTCGCCATCTGAGACGATTCCTGCTACTAAGATGTGGCCTATGAAGCATAGACACATCAAATTAGTCGTCGTAGCTGTGTCTGACATGTGTCAGACACTGACATGTTTTAGACGCACCAAAACATGTGTCTATTTTTTTTTCCTTTTTCATTAGACACATTGGGGACATATCATGGATATGCATGTCCTGCCTCTAAACATGCCTTAGGACACATTTGATTTGTGATTATTTGTTTTCATGAATTATCTATTTATTATTACGTTAATTACTTTTAATATTAGTGAGGTAATGCTTTATGATTGAAAAAATAGTATTTTATGGTTTTTCATTATTTTTGGTTGTTTGTTAGTGTAATATTCATATAAATAGAAATATAAAAATAATATATTTTTGGCGTATTACCACCATGCCCGTATCCTGATTTTTTGAAAATCATTGTGTACATATCTATATCTGTATCCGTGCTTCTTAGGATGTGGCATCAACGATGAGATAACTATGTCCGACATTTTTTAAGATAACTTCATTATTCATAATAAACCTGCTTTCTCAAATCATGGGAAATATATAATGTAACATGACTTATATTTGATATCTTGGTGTTTAATTTTAAAAATTTTCTTTATGTTATACTATTTCAACTCTTTATTGTATTTGCTTCTTGTATTTAGAATGGAGGACCATTCTATGAATGGGTTGGAGCAGGGTTGACTAGTGTACTGATAAAGGGTTTCCGCAATGGAACAAAGGACTTGACAACATATAATTGGAACTACAAGGTGATTCATTTTTTTCTTTTAAATTTTTCTATTTATATTTTTGTGCACGTCTGAAAGTGCGTGTAAATTGTATTATTTACATATACTGGCCTTAGGTCAATGTTATTCACATTGGAAAATATGTTGGTTTGATTAAATAGCATAGGTCTGATGGTCAATACTGGTAGAAATTAAATGGCTGATGCAGTACTGCTAGTCATTGATCATGTTAGAATAGCTTTTACAACTCTAGTTGTGGAAAGGGAACTTTTAAGGTTTATGTGGCCTTTGTTTTGCTTAAATTAGGTCTTGTTTGATTGTTAATATTCATTTGATCTAATGGCTAGGATTATTTGTAAGGGTGTCATTGTTTATGAAAATGGTTGTAATAATTTGTTGGTGATCATTTGATTAAGTCTGGAAAATGAAAGCACTCAGTAAAAAGTGAATTTTCCACAACACACTAATTTGCTGAAAAGTTGGGATTTTCTTTTTTAACTCTCACTGACCGACCATTCAAATTTGGTTGAGCTTCAAGTTGACATAGCCAACTCAACTTTTTAATTTGAGTTTAAAATGCAGTGAATTCCTTCTTAGTCAACTCGCCAATTGACTCAACTCCAGCAGGTTTTCAGTCAAATTGTCATGCTGTTGACCACTGCTCTCTAAACATCAGGAGCAACCAAAGGTTGTGACACATGGAGTTTTGGAATATACAATGTTTAATGTAACTATAATGAGAAGCAGAATATGATTCCTGGTTAAGTTGCCTCAAAATGATTATGGCTTTTTATGGGATGAGATTGAATGTGAAAAGTCTTCGTTGATATTGAGGGGTTCTTTTCATGATTTCCATCTGACTATTGGATAGTTTGATATACATTGTTGGGCTCATTTCCTAACCTCTTAAGCTTTTGGGACAATTGGTGATCTAACATGGTATCAGAGCTCAAGTTGGGAAAAATATTGGATTCAAGTCTTTCTGTTTGCATTATTTTTTTCTCCACGTGCAAGACAGGATTGCAAGCGAGGGAGGGTATTGGATAGTTTGATATACATTGTTTGGCCCATTTCCCAACAACTTAAGTTTTGGGGACAATTGGTGATCTAACACTGACGCCTTCCCCCCCACTCTCCCTCTGTGTTTCAGATTGGATTGGAAGGAGAACACCTAAGTATCTACAAGGCTGATGGTTTGAATAGTGTAAAGTGGGTACCAACTTCAGAACCACCAAAGGAACAGCCTCTCACATGGTACAAGGTAGACACCTAAAGATCACTTTGCAGAAAATTAAGCTAGTTTTTTTATTTTCTTCTGAAATGAATTTTAAAAGCTGTATTTAATAGTTTCACATTAGAAGAAAAATAATTGCTTCAAATCTTGCAGGCTGTTGTGAATGCTCCACCCGGGGATGAACCTATTGGACTTGACATGATTCATATGGGGAAAGGCCTAGCGTGGTTAAATGGAGAAGAGATTGGAAGATACTGGCCTATAAAAGCCTCTAAACATGATGAGTGTGTACAACAATGTGATTATAGAGGCAAATTCAGCCCCAACAAATGCAGCACAGGGTGTGGAGAACCAACGCAGAGATGGTAAGCCAAAAAGAATGAAAACGAAGAGCTAATAACTAACATTCTGTTTCTTTTCAATGGAGTCCAACCAACATGCAACTGTAGGGGATGTTCATTGAGGCTGTGTTTGGATCTAGGATTTGGAGAGGGACTTTTGGAAGTAAAAGAACAGGGAATGGGAAACTGACAAAAATTAGCTAATGTTTGATTTACACTTCTCTCAATTTTGTTTTTCCCCCTCCATAAATCCCTTGGCAAATCGAAGATCCAAACACAGCCTAAAGAACTCTTGTAATCTTCGAAGTTCCTACATAGCTTAAAGTGCTTCTGAGGGAATTGGTCAGAAGATGATGCATTCAGGATTAAGTTTTTTAAGCAAGTTTTCCAAGGATAAATATTGCCTAGATCTATAACAAATTCAACTCCAATTTTTTTGTTTTGTTTTGTTTTGTTTTGTTTTTTTTTTCTTCATGATGGGCCCCGCAAAAATGGCTCTATCTAAATTTCTTCTATTTCTCCTTCACCATTGGAACAATATTGGCAAAAATGGAATTTTGTCAATACAGCTAGCCAAAAAATGGCCATTTGAGCAATGACCATTGGAGTTACTCTTATGGTTGTTGAGAGAAAATGGATAATGATCAGTGTAAAGGTAGATGCACTTTGACTTCTGGGATATCTCTATAATTGGAAAGTCCAGCTCACACTTCTCTTTAAAATGCAGATATTAAGGAGAGGGAAATTGGAGCCTTATAACTAGCACAGATGGGGCAATTCCAGACAATGTGGAACACATTCCAACACACCCTCTTGGACACAACATACAATAGCCGGACAAACAGCATACCAATCACAGGCCCAACCAAGCTTTGATACCAAATTGAAAAGCCCAGCTCACATTTCTCCTTAAAATCCAAGTATAAAGTGTTGGAATGTGTCCCGCATCGCTTGGGGTTGCCTCATTTGGGCCTAGTTATAAGGCTCTAGTTTCTCTCTCCTTAATAACTGGGTTTTAAGGAGAAGTGTAGACTGGGCTTTTCAACTTGGTATTAGAGCTTGGTTGGGCTTGTGATTGATGGGTTATTTGTGCAGCTAGTGTGTGTTGTGGTCCAGGAGGGTGTGTTGGAATGTGTTTGACATTGCTTGCAGTTGCCCCATCTATGTTAGTTATAAGGCTCTAGTTTTCCTCTTCTTAATACTTGGTTTTAAGGAGAAATGTGGGCTGGGCTTTTCAACTTAAAGAAGAGGGAAACTGGAGCCTTATAACCAGCACAGATGGGGCAACTCTAAGCGATGTGAGACACATTCCAACACACTCTCTCGGACCACAAAACACACTAGCTAGCAGGACAAATAGCCCATCAGTCACAGGCCCAACCAAGCTCTGATATCAAGTTGAAAAGTCCAGCCCACACTTCTCCTTAAAACCCAGGTATTAAGGAGAGGGAAATTAGAGCCTTATAACTAGCACAGATGGGGTAACTCCAAGCGATGTGGGACACATTCCAACACTTTATACTTGGATTTTAAGAAGTGTGAGCTGGGCTTTTCAACTTAAAGAAGAGGGAAACTAAAGCCTTATAACCAACACAGATATGGCAACTTCAGGCGATGTGAGACACATTCCAACATCTATGTCGTTAACTTCATCAAAGACCCACAAAGATTTGGATAAACATCAAATTGTCTTGAAACTTGCTGCTTTTACTTCCATTAGTTTCTTGGTATCATATATTTGAACAATTAGGTTTTAATTCTCATTAAGCTTTCTCATTTAACCGATGTTGAAGAAAAATGAACATTGTATGTAATTTTTTGGTATGGAAGTTTATTGTTTTCTGTATGGAACAGGTACCATGTTCCAAGATCTTGGTTCAAGCCATCTGGAAACTTTCTGGTGATTTTTGAGGAGAAGGGTGGAGATCCTACTAATATTAGATTCTCCAAACGGAAGACCTCAGGTGTCTGCGCTCTCGTTTCTGAGGATCACCCCTCCTTTGAACCTGAATCTTTGCTTGAAGATGGAACTCGGGATCACAAAAATAGTGCAGTTGTCCAATTGAAATGCCCAATAAATACCCACATTTCCACTGTCAAATTTGCTAGCTTTGGAACTCCTTCGGGGACTTGTGGATCCTATACCATGGGTGACTGCCACGATCCCAATTCAACTTCTGTGGTTGAAAAGGTAAACGCATGCTGTCCCTAGTGTTGAAATGATTTCCTTACTCAAATATAGACAAATGAAAAATGATGATGAAATGGTGACATTATAATACAGTTATATACTCGTAAATATAATCTAAGAAGCACAGACTCTTTGAAGATGGCATGTCTGTGTCCGTGCCCAACACATGTCGGACACCGGCACTTCTTGACACTCATTGGACATTTCCAACACGTCTCGAGCACACATCCAAACATCTTTGTTATTTTTTTAAACATGTCCGTGAGTTGTTTCCTTATTGATTTTGATTTTTCATCTTCATTCTTTTTTTTACAAAAAAAATAAAAGAATGTAGAGACTACTACCATCTGAAGCTTGACCACAAATGTATTGGCATGAAGCACCATGTTAATATTCCATTCACCCCATCTTTTTTTCACACATCTAGAATTTTGTGTACCAAGTATTTTCTCATTTTATTTAAATACTTGTAATGCTTTATTTCTCTAACTTGCCTGAACACTATTGCAGGTTTGCTTAAATGAAAATGAGTGCAGGGTAGAATTGACAAGAGTGAATTTCAACAAGGGATTGTGTCCCGGCACAATAAAGAAACTCGCGGTTGAAGTGGTTTGCAGCTGAGTTTGCTAGTTCATGTCGGCATTTATATTTGATCACACGAAGAAGGTTAAATCATTTTCGTTTGTCATGGGACTCTCTTAGTTTTTCTTTCTTCTATTTATTTGTTTTTATTTTTTACATCTAGCAGGGAATACTGCTGTTATGTAATTTTTTTCAGTAATTGAGGTACATGTTTGAGAGGGCATTAAACTGATTACTGTTAATTCTAAGGTATTCTACTATGTCAATTTAATTTTGTTTTCCAACGGGAAAAAAAAATGATGCAATAAATAAATTTGAAGTTGGTTTCACCAATTGTTTGGTAGACAAGTATAAGCTGTATTTAATTGTCACATTTGTTATTTATATAGATTCATGTTCATGATAAGAGCAAGGGGGTGTGATAAGTATATTATATTCGTAATGTAGACATTTATATCCTTTAATTTTATATGATGTTTGAAATGAACATGTTCACATTTGTTAATAAAAACATTTTTAGCTTCTAATAGGAATGAGACATATTAATTTCTTAATTTTCATAGATTTTATTTAATTTGAAATATATTTGTAAATAAGTTATAATATTTTATTTAAAAATGGTAAACAATATGCAATATGAGTGTAAGACTTTGTTCTTGCTTTGTGATATAATACTAAAGGGTAGGAGTGATATTGAAGAGTATGTCAGTCCGAAGTGAAAACTACACAATACTGAAACTATAGTAGGGCTTATTTGGCAAAAATGCTAGAGGTCCCAAAAGTTCTATCAAAAGTTTTACCAAATGTCTCACATGGGTGTGGGACCCACATGGGACCCACACGTGAGACATTTGGTAAAACTTTTGATAGAATATTTGGGGTCTCTAGCATTACTCCTTATTTGGTGCTGTTTTCATTTTTGGTGTTTTTATTTTTTAGTGATTTTATAATTAAGAACAAATAAAAAGTTTAAAAATATCTTTTTTTTTTAAGGGTATTCAGTTCATAAATCTAATTTTAAATTTTCTTTGTTCAAATATACACGCTCTAAAACACTTGGTCCGTAAGGACAACCTTCTACCAAACAATCAAACTATATATATATATATATTGTTTCCCAAACCCTAATCAAACAAAACTAGTCTCCATCCATCGTCTCTCTTTCTACTCTCCTCCTCCTCTCTCTCTCTCTCTCTCTCTCTCTCTCTATCGACGGACCATCACCACCGATCACCATCGTCGTCTTCAATCTCCATCCTCCGCCTACTTCCTCTGCTACTCTGACGATACACACAGATTTGTATATATATATATCCATTTCTCTCTCTTCCTCTCTCTCGCTATATATATATATATATATCTGTGTCTATCGTTGATGGTAATGACATCGAGGTCATCATTGACGAGGTTTCACTAACGCGGAATTTGATCTCTAGAGCATAATTGTCTCTGATACACTCTTTGGTGACTTTATTGGTAATTTCTGCAAATTTATCGAAAGAATAACTGTTGAAGCTAAAGCAAAATGTGAAAGCTTCACTCCCTTTGTTTGGGAAATGGGTTGGCTTTTTGGTTTTTTGGCTATTTAGCCTGCGCTAAACAGCCTTATTTGGGATGACTTTTTGACTTTTTTAACTTTTGTGAAAGAAAAAATGAAATGATTAGAGTGATTCTTCTTACGCCACTACTTTACCTCTTTATACTCTCAATCTCATTACACCAGTAAAAAAAATATATATATATGATTCTTATTATACCTATTATATTATCAAAACTAACCCTAAAGTAGATTCTTCAAAACCCTTTTATCTCTTTACACTAATAATTTTTGGAGGGAATAAGAGAACAGAGAAAGACGCAAGGAAGATAGTGAGGGAACTCTACATTCTGTTTTTGGGTCAGCTCGAGCGGGGAATTCGCCGCTCGAGCGTGGATTTGTTGCTCCCAGCACTTTGTTGCATTTCAGGTGTGTCACGCTCGAGCGTGAAATGATAGCATCCAGTAATTATCCTATAGCTCTGCAGAAACCTTTGAGACTCTTCTTTCTTCGCTCGAATGGGGGAGTCGTCGCTCGAGCGGGCCTTCTTGATCGTGTCTGGATGCTCGAGCGTGAGAAGTCACGCTCGAGCGGGGAACGCGATGACAGCTTTTTAAGCACAGCAATTCTAGATCATTCTCACATCTTTCTTTTTCTATTCTTGATCTCCTCTTCCCCCTTCTCTTGGAAACCCTAAATTCCTATCATCCAACACCTCTCCTACCATAGGAATTCGCCCGAAATCACTTGCTAGGAGCGAAATACACTTAAGGATCATTGTTTTCTACCGATTAGATCGTGGGTTTGCAGTAGAACCGTGAAGGAGCTTGGGTTTTGGTTTGTCATTTGAGCTAGGGATGCTTTTATCTATGTATTTCTTCTTTATTGGTGGGATTTTATGGCAATGTATGTAATGTGTTAATAAATTTGGGGATTCCATTGGCTTAAACCTTTATTACATATATCTAAGCCCCTATTTTACAATTTGTTTGAAATCTCTCAATTTTCTTCTCTAAACACAAATGTAAATGTTGATAAACCCTAGGTTGTCGACAAGAGAGAAAACCCCAAAAATTTATAAAATCCTAAGTTCTATTTGAATAGGAATTACTTGATATAATGAACTCTTCCTTGATTCATGGAAATTGAGGAAGAATGGAGAGAAAAAAGGTGGGGACTGATATAGTTAAAGAAATGGTTACTGAAATGTTATTGTTTGATAGGTTTTGTGTAATGGCTATTTATGATAATGTTGAATGTTGTACTGTGGGACTGGAATGTGATTGAATTGTCGAGAATGCATGAGTCCATGTGTGAGTTGGTGATGTTTAAGAGTGGTGTTGTGTTAGTACCTGCGCGGTGAGTCTAAAGAGTTGCCCAAATGCCCTGTCTAGGCTTATCGCTGGACGAATGTGGGAAAATGTTTTTGGGTGTCCACACAGTCCCGCCATATAGTAGCCGGCAAAAGTGAAAAAACGTATGATTTTCTTAGGGTGCCTACTTCCCGCCATATAGTAGCCAGCGAATGTGGGGGTTGTCTTCAAAAAGTGAAAGGTTGTTTTCATTTGGATCCATGTAAAGTAATGTGTGGTCTGATTTCCATTATTGTAGGTACTAAATTGTTGTGCATGATGATACAAGTTACACAAGCCTCATTGTATTTTGTGTTGCCTTATGAATTGTTAACGATCTATAATGAAAGCAAACTTCTCTATAATGTTTTATCACATAGATGCCATGATCTTATTAAGAGGATTAGATACCTGGATAAATGTCAACCTCATTGAAGGATTGGCGCAAGCACCAACCCTATTTCTTTTGGATAGCTAATTGAAGTCAAGGGCTTTTAGTTGTTTTGCATTTATTTTGGGATTTATGTAACAGAACTATCTTTTGTATTTGTAATGTTGTACGCCCTAGGGACTTATGTTTTCGTTGAGTTATCTAGCTCACCGAACTGAGAGAAGACTTTGAACATCTTGGGAATGTTCTATATGAAGTGTAAACACTCAACTTTTAGTTTAATGGGAAAAACGACCCTTTTGGGGATTTTGTGATCATATTATTAGTGTGTATAACAGGGTGAACTTGCAGGGTGTTACAAGTGGAGCCCACAACGAAGTGTCTGTTCGATCACACAGTGTTAAACAATTTACATTCCTTTGGTGTTATGCTGCCAGAAAAAATATATTTCTCTAGCATTTTGTTGCTATACATTTACAAGCCACTTTCTTCCAAACAATGATTTTTAAATTTGTGCCGGACCTGTTCAGTGATACAATGCTAATGAATTTGAATTAATCCGGTACCATATTACCAGACAAACTTTTTTCCCCTAGCAATATGTTACCGTTCGATTGGATAATAACAAGAAATTAATTCGGGGCCACTTGTGAAATGCTTGTTCGGTGATACATTGTTATACAAATTAAATTACTCTAGTGTCATATTGCCAAACTATAATAGATTTGTCTAGCTACCAATCGCTGTACATTGAAAGATTTATTTTTTTCCTTCAAGCATCCATAAAAAACATCCATAAATTAAGCACGCATCCATAAAATTATACATAAAAAAGTATCCATAAAATTATTCATAAAAACATTAAGTGTACGAACATCCCTAAAAATATTCATAAAATCTGTCATTATTTACATCCATCAGTCAAACACATTATCACAATTTGTCCATATCGATACTTTCGGTAGTTATTACATTAGGACTGACAAGCGTACATAATTGATGAATATGGATAGTGTATGCTTTCTCCCATCCATTAGCATACAGGTAATGAAAACAAATCTAATTATTTGCCATCTGATGTTTTCATAACAATGACAAATCCAGTCTTCTTCCTAATGTCAGAAGCCCATTTAATTAATGGTTGATAACTACTAAAAATCTAAAGATAATAAATACGTTTATACATCAAATTATTAATAAAACTCAATACAAATTAAAAATAAGAAAAAATCGTATTCATGAAAAAATTTAACAAACATCGTCTGCAATGAATTCATGACTGGAGTCCACTAGTAATGCAGTATTTGCATTGTTGCAATGAGTAGAAGCATAATCCTTCCAAGCAAAAAAACATAAAATATAAATAAAAAAAAATGAAACTAGAAATATACGGTAATGCGTATCTGAACAAATTAAAAACATTCGATCTTGGGTTACCGGAAATGTATCTTTTATTCAGCAGTTGGTTACCAAATATATATTTTTTGTTCGGTAATGTAATGGCGGACTTATTTTGTTCGATTTCAAAACACCAAACAAAAGTTGAAGAACAATCTAGAAAAACAAAACAAAAACCTACCAAACAAATAAAAAAAACTCATAATTTCACTTTTTTTATGGTTCTCCACCACCGTTTCTTCATCCATTGCATTCTTCTATGATTGAAACACTATGATTCACACTTTTTGAAAAGAGATGTGTAAGAGAGAAGAAAAATTGAGAAAGGAAGAAGAGGAGTAGAGATTGAAGACTAAGGGGTGTAAGTAGATAATAAAATATATTTAATTTTAGTGCTTTTTCCTTAAAGGTAATTTCGCGCATGGATAAAATTGAAGAAAAAAAAACACCTCATATAAAGGGTGTGAAGAGATAAGGTAGTTGTGTAAGTAGAATCACTCAATGATTATAGTTTGGATGTGACATTTTGTCTTATTAACTTTTTTAGCCTTCAGCTATTTTAGCCCAACTCTCTTCCTAAACAAGGCTAATGCAGAAGTCGATGGCGTAGATCTGCATTTGTGAGAGCTCATCGGTACAAATCTGCAAGTCACCAAGAGCAAGGTAATAT